AACCCCTCCCTGCCTGAGCTTAAGGAGCTGGTTTGTGCCCCGTGGAAAAGTCCCTGGGGCAGCGCTCGGCCCCCGCGCAGCCCCTGCGGACCCCTTCCCCGGCCCTCGGCAGCAAAAGGGCTCCGTCATCTAACATTTCCCTCTTCGACTGGAAGTATGGTCCGAAAAAAAAACAAGCGGCGAGAGAAGGCAATACCTGGTGAGGAGGAGGCCCCCCGGTCCTGCCTGGAAGAGTCGCCCTCCCGGGAAGCGTGGGGAAGCGGAGCGGGAGAGGACGGAGCGCGTTGCCGGGGGGAGGCGCAGGCGCTGCCGGGACGCCCCCCCTTTTTTTTCCCCCAGGCCGCTCCCCAAGTGCCCGGCTCCGAGTCCTTCTGCTAATGAAGGAGCTGTTTGTGCCTGGGCAAAGGCCGCCTCCAGCGCTGGCACCTCTCCCGGGAGAGCCCGGCAGCCGCGCGTTGGCTCTGCCGGAGCCGTGCCCTTTGCCGCCTGCTGATAACTGTTTTCCTTCACGATTTCCCCGGCACACTCGAGAGGAGTCTCATGGGGCCCCGCTATCCCGAGCAGAATATATCGTCTTTCTTCTTCTCTTACAAGCAATTAATTATGTTCTGAATGTTTCTGAAGCTGCCTTAAGGTTGCCACAGTGCTTGAGCCATCGTGCTAGCAGTCAGGATGGCAGTAGCACAGCGTGGCCGAGGGCCTGGTTGTTGCAGTCATCACAGGGCAACGAAGAACAAGTCCCTGCTAAACCGCAAATGCCTGGCGAGCACAGCCAGACAGGACTCTCCGGATTAACCTTTTTCAGCAGAAAACCACAAGTTTGTCAAAAACAAACCTGTCTGCAGGATCACTAGGATGAAATGGTATACCAGGGATTCTTGGCTCCAGGGCATTTGCCGTGGGCAGGACATTTTGGCTAATACTTGGCTGCTTGAGCATTCGTCCCTGAACAGACTCAGCAGGACAGTGTTTGGAAACTGTTCCCCTGCAGTCCTGTCGAACAACATTTGCCATGGATCCTGCAAGCAGGTGCCTTTTCTTTGCAGCCATTTAAATACAGACCAGGCAGCCATCCAAAGAGCATCTGTACATACAGCAGCGTGTACAACACGTGACCAGCTGTTCTCGCCTCCCAATCTAGCCGTGTTCTTAAATGGTAAAACTAAAGCTGTGATATATTACACATATGTAATCACTGACCTTTTTATATGCATAAATTTTAGGGGTTTTTTCCTTTAACAGTGAAAGGAACAATTCTGCCAAAATTATAGCATAGCTTGATTTTTCTGAGTGGTTTGAGAATACAGTATTGAATAAGACAGGGAAGGAGGCAGAGGATAGGAGAAGGTTTGCTTGTTTAGAAATGAAATTGTTGATGGGCTTGGTGTATTGATTGTAAATGTACACTATTTTAAATCATTGCAGGATATCTGCAATAGCTTTGGAGAGGAGCCTTTCAGATATGGAAACCTCCTTCAAATATAAGCAGAGGTCACAGTGCCAGATTAAAATTACCTGCTATTTCTTCTCCGGAGATTCTATTTCTCATTGCTTATAACTTCACCAAATTTGAATTATTTGGATTGTAATTTTCTGCGTTGGATGTTTATGCAAGGCTGAATGTTTCAGGGAATTCCCAGTGTGTCTTTTCCTGAGAATGAGACTCAGGAAATGCATGCTGCTTTGGGATACCAACTCTTACAGTAATTTCATTGAGAAACTCTTAGTCTTCCATGAGCTAAAGTATTTTGGAAGGGTGAACACACTATGCTTTGCCATATTTTAGGATGAAGAAAGAGCTTTGTTTGTCATCTCTTTCTACATAATCTAGATGTGTGACTTCCCACCACAAATGCTTCTTTATCCATGCAGGTATCTATAAGGGGAAGAAATTTCAACTCCTTAGTGCTGCCATTGTTTTTCTTACCTCTCCTCTTCCCTAAAATGAACAGCACAATATAGAGCCTCTTTGGTCTAACTCCCAGAGCCCTGATAAACCGAAGATCAGCCATTCTGAATTGAGGCCTTCAAGATATGAGAAGTTTTTTGTACAGATGTTGGTGCTCTCTCGTGAAAGATGGGAAAAAGCACAAGGACAGACAAGAAGCTCTGCATCACAGCCCAACTGCTAAAGACCCCCCGGATGTTTGTGTATGTATTATTCTGTGTATTGTGCAAAGTATGTCATTTTGAACTAACAAATAATTGGCTAAATAGTATTCCAAGTGCAACGTTCACCTATTTGTATTTCGAGAACACTCCTGACAAACTCTGTGATAGTGGCTATTGTATCCTTTGACTGAGTGCAAGTCATGATTTGGTCACGCAAGAAGAGTGCGCCAGGCTTCTGGCACAAAACGAACACAGCCCTGATCATACTTGGAGCTGCTTCTGAACAATGACTGGCAGTGGCATCCCAGCACACCACCAACCCAGCTCGAGTAGTGCTTACGAAGTGTTTCCCTTTACTGTAGCATTCTCTTTGCTTTGTGTACTCTCTTGGATAGAGCAGTAACGATAAGCAGAAATGACCTCTGTGAACACAGCAGTGCTGACCTGTTTCTGATCTTATGAATGACATGGACCACTTCTCTGCCACTTCTTTAACCAGTTCAAAGATCAAGTCAAGCATCAATGTCCATGGCAAGTTACCATTTCAGCAAAGAGGTTAAGCTTCTCCTCATTTTGCTGTTTTCCCATGTTATTTACTTACTTCTGTGGGATTCTCTCAATGAGGAAGATACCGGCAGTACTGACATTCCTATTGAAAAGCTTTGTGAAAATATTTACTGAGATATTGTTCACTTATCCCTGGTTCTTTTGCTGTGTTCCTGATCACCTCAGTCAAAACCACTTTTCATTCTCATCACTGAGATGAGACCACAGCAATGAGACTGTGGAGAGAATCTTCACAAGGGTCACCCCTTGGTGCTGGTTTTTTCTTATTCCTGTGCAAGTCAGTTCATCTCCACACGAAACATTATGAGGCAACGTTAATAACTAGATGCCTGTGAGCACTCCATGGCTGGATCCTATTCATCTGCAACAAACACCCGAGCAGTATTCAAGCCTGTGTCTTAGACAGGAATGCAGAAACAGAAGAGTTGATTTGTCACTAAATGAGATATTCTCCATTACCTCTGATAATTCATAAACCTAGGATAGTAATTTCTTTGAAAGAGCTGGTTTTGTGTACAAACCTCTCTGCAATCATTTTTATATATCAGTCATATTAAAAAAAGATACTTCCCCATTTGAGGTATATACTTTTTAGGCTTGATTTTTCTCAGCTTGATTGAACTCAGTGCTCTTGAAATCAGTATATCAGGGATGATTCAAATTTCTCAACTTTAGCAAACAAATATTTGAACCATTCACTATGGTTACTTTCAGGGAGGAACCTAAATCACCTGGCAAGGACATAGAAAGCCATTAAAACACGAATGATGAAGCCAAGTGATGGGTGTAACTTGATCAGAAAACATAAGGTTAATAAAATATGCATGGAAAATTGAGTAGTTTGCACTAATTTGAGATTTAAGGGAAATGAAAAATAAACAGGTTTCTGAGAAGGGCCAAGAGGACAAATCACAAAGAACAGGGCTACAGATAGATTGCTGCAGTTCTCATTTTCCTTGCACTGTCTGCCCACTCCAGTTCCTGCACGAGGAAGTTGCAGTTAGTTTTCACATCCACTGAACACCAAGTGGTTACAAGTTACATCATTGTTTTGTCATTCCTGTAGTCAACTACTCTCTTTTTTGATTAACTTACACCCAATCTACAATATCTGCAGCTGTTTTTGTCACTACTGAATTTGTCCAAGGGACTACTGCCCCAGCCAGCTTATACAAATAAAGGCAAAAAAGAACCATATTCTTCCTGCAACTGAAATGAAAAACGTCACATTTTTAATGCATATTTTGTCATAGTCACCACATAACACATTACCCAAACCTTGGTTTATACCTGCAAACACAAACAGGAAAAAGACACGCAGGTGATACTTGCCAGCCTAAACCACGCAGGAGGTATCCCACGGGTTTCCCTGCAGGAGGGATCTCCGTGGAACACGGAAGCACCAGCCCAGCTCCTACAAGGGAGCATGTACCAAATGGAGTGCTGGTGATTGTTAGGAGTTCATTAAATTATATAAAGGTCTAAAGATTAAATAACATGTGTTTGACTTTATTCTTGCACATAATTGCAGATAATAAATACACATTAAAAAAAAATTAACATATATTGTACTAAACCCACATATTCTGGGCAAACGAACTCCTTCCCATGAGTACATACTTCCCCCATGTTACCAAAATGCACACTCCCCCTGGTACAGAATCTTGTACGAAACTGTTACCAGTACTTAGATGTGCTCTAACCTTTCTTCATGAGAGATGTAACAATGCAGATACTGCTCCACTGCATTTACTAGAATTTTTCCTGATAAAATACACTTGTTCTTTTGTCAACAGTCATCTTTTCTTTTTTCCTTTTTTTTTTTTTATCTTTGAGTTTAATTTCTCCCCTATGAATCTGTTGCGGGATTCCGACAAGCATCTTTAAGATATATTTGTACAAGAGTATAGAATGAATCCAGACCCTCCTTTTTGCAGCCACAAATGCCTTTCTGGCATCATGCCTCCATGGCGCAAGTGACCTTGCATTTTGTAAGCCCTTGCAAAAGGCACTCACAGGCCTTGCATGTTGCTGAGCCCAGCGCTACGGAGGCTTCCTAAGTGACTGCACGTAAGGAGTTGGTAAAAATAAGCTGTGAAAGATACAGGAGAATGCCAGATTCCTCCATCCCAGAGGTGGGATCTCAGACCATCTTCTGTTTCCACAGAGCCATTACACAAAACCCCTCAGCCTTCAGGCAGGATTCACTCCCTTGTTCAGACATTCAGGGTACCACCCAAAGCATTTGACACAGAGCGCATGTAGTTTGAATAGCTTTTTTTTCTTCATAACGCTTAAACTACAGAAATTTTCACAAATAAATTGAAGTGAGTTATTAAAGTAGAAAATACATCTGTTTTAAAATACAGATTCAAAATATCAAACACATTTACTTAGTATTTTTTCTCAGTTACCATTAAACTAATGATAATTGCTCTCATTCCTACACTTAACCCAGAAAGTATGTCCTTAACAAACTGTAAGACTGTCTAATAAAATATGGTATCAAATTTAGGATAAAAACATTTGTCATTGTGCAATAATGACCAGCAATTAAGACAGATAAGAATTCTAATCCAGTATCTCATAAAACCATTATGTAACCCCAGAGACATTGATCAGCACAATAAATTTGCACTAAGATAGAGATGACAAATACAAACATAAATGAACTTAAGGACTCAGATAAGAAACTATGAAAAGGCATTCTTTTTATGAGCAACAAGAGGAAAATACGCCCCACAGGAACAGAAGCATTTGTTCTCAAACTCAGTGCTCTCTTGCGAGAGGATTTAGATAATCTATGAACATTTAAGAGAAAGAAATCAACTCACCCTGTCTATCCTACGTTTATAATGTATGAATGACTAGTGTTAAATACATTTTTTGTCCATATAGAAAAAACAAGCAAACAGAAATGCTAGAGACATACAGACACATGCTATTTCCTTTTTTACAGTAATATGCTTCCTCAGGTTAAAGAATAGGATAACCCAAGGCATCCTCTAAGCTATTCATGCATAAAATCACAAAAGGTGTACCTGTAGATGAATAAACTTTTTACTTCCAGGGAAAAAAGTAACATCATTAGTGCAGGGAAATTCAGGTCTCATTTGAATCAAAGACTAAATACCAAATACTGACTTCAGTGACAGGAGGAACTGGCTTTTGGGATTAAAAGCCATCAAGCTACATTGTGTTTTAGAATCATCATGAAGTTTTAGCCTGTAAGGATTGCTCAGTATCATTGTGCATTTAAGTGTTTGCTTTTTTCTTTTTTCTTCTTTGCCTTATGTATACCAATTACAGATGACCAGGTCCTGAATCCCTCAAGTCAAAGGAACACAGAACATGCACTGACTGTTCTTAGCAGGGTAACCCCCAAATCAGTTATTTGGCAGGTAAGGAACTAGAAAAATTAATTTCAGTTGTTCTTTAGTACCTTGTTAGAAATAGACTGTACTGTCCCCAGCACTCAAGACTGAGGAGTTTAAGATAGGACCTTGTACTAATAAAAGAGGGAGTATCAGTGTGAAAGAACCCCAAAATAATGCAATTACTTGGAGCTCCGGGGCGGCGGAGGGGAGAGTGGCTGCAATGTCAGACAGTACCAGTTTAATTCCTTGTTAGGTCTATTGCATAATGTTTTCTTTTTCAGCATGGTTAAACCCCTGTTTAAGGCAGGGCATGCATGGTTTGGCAACAGATCTTGCAGATAAGGAGAGTTGGTCTGCTCTGGGAAGTGGAGGGGATCTGAAAGCAGTGGAAGAATACCAGGTCTGCTCTTCAGCAAAATAAAAAGCCACAGCATGTGAGTAATCCTATCTTTAGTCATCAAAGTATGTATTCAAGTTGTTCTCTGAATAATGATGGGATTACTCACGCGGGTAAGGTTAAGCACATTCTTTTGATGAACTAATATATCTGGACAGAAGCCATAGTATTCTATGCAGTTCTCTTCGGAGGTTTTCTGCAAATACTGGAACACCCACAGAACTGAGGACAGCATAAAGATCCCTTTCTGCTTTCCATGTAATTATCACACAGAAACTCCTTGAACTTAAACTTACTGATTTTTGCTTGGCTTTGAAGCATGTTAGTCCTCATATAGGATACGATTTTGTCCTAATACCAGGACCAAAATGCTACTTGACACTCTAGGAGAGTGCAGTGAAGAAAAAAATCTTTTATAAGGGGATATAAACCATTATTCTGGTTTCAGAAGTCATTGAATGTGCAGACATAATTGAAAATTGTGACCGTTAAACTCTACACTATATAGAATATTTATCTAGAGCAATATAGATGTCTTATTTTGGGGTACATGGCAAAGAAGTAAACAAGGGAAGACTTGTTTTGATGAGATCATACCAGCTAGCATGGGAGTAGGTGCCTAAGATGAGAACAACTCTGATTTCAAACCAGGGATGACAGGGTTCCTGCAGCCCAGGCAAGAGAGGGCTGTCTGAACCTCAACACACAGAAGCTTCATGTGCCACCCCCCTCAAACCAAGGGTGGCCAAGAGAAGAGGATACAGATCCTCAGGCAAGGGAGAAACCCCTGTGTCTGGAGGTAGACTGAAAAAGGGGAGGTGGGACAGAAAGCCATAAAACCAGCAGACAGAATGATGCATTCCTATCTATCAGTTTTCTGTGGTCCATAGTCATAAGGCACGATCACTGCACCAGCAAATAAGTGTTGATGCACACATGAGGTGTAACAACAGTGGGACATTTACAGACACTTTGACTAAAACTACTAGAGTAACTGGTAACTCTTCTATTGATCAATGTCCTCCAGCTAGCATTTTTTTAATTATATTTTTCTAACTGATTTTGTGTGGTATAAGGAAAAAATGAGCTACAGAAAGCTGGTCTATGAGAAAAATGGTGTGTAGATACCATGTCTACTAAACATTGATAAACTAAGTCCACCTCTGTGCAGAGAGCCTGAATAAGACCCATTTGCCACTTATTCTGCTCCACTGAGAAGGCCTTGATAGAGGCATTTGGCAAAGTTGCTGATGTAGCTCTTGAAAGTTATGATGCTAGATCTGAGCTGAAATAAGTGAGAAGGGGAGCATTGAAATAACAGTCTGGAATGAATATGATTTTCAAAGGCATCAGGCACTTTAGTTTTGCCTAAACTAAAAAGAACTTACTAAGACTGCAGTAGATCCAGTGAACAATTTTTTTTAAACCACTAATAAAAACACATTTGCCATTCAACAGAATGAATAGTATACAAACTATTTGCACATTTTGCAAACTTAGTATTATTTTTTCAGTTAGAAGCTGTTCCACAGAATACTTTGCTTTGTTAGCAATGGCACCTTTTCCAGTAGAAAATTTGAAAAAAAAAGAATAAATTAGACTTTGAAATTATTGATATGACTTGATGCAATGTTAAGGCTTCTCTCTTGAATTGTAAATGTTTGAGTTTGCCATGTTTTGAAGTCTCAAGCCTGCAACAGGACAAGAGCAGAAAGGGCACTTTGTGGTGGGTTTACAAATCTAACTGCAGAAAATGTGAAGCAAAGAATCGGCATATTTTTTACCTATGTGTAATCAGGTAGGTTCCAACATTTAGAGTAATCATTCAACTGGTCACAGCAAGTCAGATAGGTTTTCTGAAGCCTGTGTAAGTTTGACAAGGGATCTAGAAATCCTATCAAATTTTCTGCAGTACCTCAGTCACGTGGAAAAGGTTTTATATACTTGCTCTGTTGAAAAGGCAAGACTGGATACAAATTAAAAGGCACAGATATTATAGAACAGTCACATTTCTCAAATAAAAATATCTTATAAATTAGATAACGATTAAAATTGGGAACAGCCATTTTGCTGTTGCTTTATTTCTCAGCGCTGCCTGTTTCTTGACCAAACATCTCTATCTTTTCTAATGCCGCACCACTGTGTGCTGGAGGAGTCTTTCCTGAACAGCTTTTCTTGTTTCTTCCCATTTCTGTAGCCTCCACCAAAGTATTAGTCAATGGTTTTCCCAGTGTTTCTGGAAGCATTATTGTTAATATTCCACTCAGAAGAGCCATGATTCCAACAATCAACTAGAAGAAATAAACAGTAACTGTAAAGGTAGAAATGTCTTTCAAGTTATGCAACTCTTTCATCTTGCTTGAGAGTACATTTAAAAAAAAGCACAAGGAACTGTAATGTAAAGCAAAGATTGTAAGTCTTAAATATTGACTGTACAAAAGATCTGCCTATTTTTGTTGCATAAATGAAAGATTATGCAGCAGAATAATGAAGAGCAAATGAAGTGTTTTGTTCCACCAGGGATCAATACAGTGCAAGCAGGAATAATTCTGTTTGAGAAAACAATACATATCTCTTCATTTGGTATTTCTACTATCAGGTATGTATTTAAGAACTGATTCTAGGATTGCATACATTTATTTTTACATGCACGTTCATAGAGCTACAATTACCCTGCCACCTGTAATCTCACTTTGCACTCTAGCTCCTGAAGCTATTCCCCTTGTACCTGTGTGCCTGTTCCTCCTGCACACAGCCAGATCAGAATTTCTCAGTATGGATCATTGGCCTGGAGCCACGGAAGTGCACATCCCTGCTCAGGAGAGCACTTCAGCAGATAATGAGCTAGCTCTAAACAGGAATACTTTGCTAAAGTGCAGTTTCAAAGATCTGTTAGGGGTGCAGGCATCTACTGACATTTATTTGCACTGGGATCACATCTTGGATTTCTCCATGGTGTACACAGTTCCATAATGACAGCTTCAGCACGAGTGGTGCAAGGATCAGGATCATGTGGGGTAGATGCAGAAGCACACAGATGCTCCAGGAGTATCATCTTTTCTTTCCCTTCATTTCTGTGCCTTGTTCAGTGAGAACAATTCACACTTTCCTCCTTTGAACAGCTTTAAAACCATGACATGCTTCCAACGTCAGGTTGTAAATGACCCAAATCTCTCTTGATAGAAACGCTTCCACAGCATACATCATGCCTGGCCTCAGTGTTTTTCCATTTTATGACTGTGCACTTTGATACTGTATTATCCTTATCTTGCCCTATGCTGATTCTCAGGTCTGTCTTGTTTGTTTAATACTTTCTTTCCAAGTGTGAGAGAGAGCATTTGGAACTACTATGCCTACGTCTCTCACACAGAGCTTGAGACAAGAACTGGCCAGCTACCAACTGCAGCTAAGCCAGACTTTCTCCTTAAGTCAGAAAGGTGTTTTAAAATCGGAATTCTCCATTGTGACTTTGAACAGAGCTATTTTAATGCAAATGCACCGTGCTGCTTTTCCTTCCCCACCACCTCCAAAAGAGGACAGCTTGTCTCAAGCACTCTTTTGAGAAGCAGAATTCACAATGTTGCATACACTCCTCTTTATGCACTTGCATTAAACATAGAGGCTGACAAAATAAAAAAATAAGCAAAATACTGTTGAATACTACAAACTACAGTGAAAATAAAATAGTCATGCTCTTACCGTAAGAAATTAAAAAAAAAATCCTAGCAGTAACGTGACCAGAGGAAATGGCACTGAGTGACAAACTGAGGGAAATCCTTGCAGGCATATATATATGTGGCATGGGTAATATTTAAAAATATATTCCAAAATATTAAAGTCTCACCTCTGAGTGTCAAAACTCTTCTCCACGATTAAAACATGATTTTCTGCCATGGTAAGACAGGATGAATTGACACATGGCAGCTATTCCATGGCAACCTCTTTTATGCACATTCTTTAGGCTGTCATAAGTTTATATCTAAGGATATTGAGGGCTGTGAAGGATATTGAAGCTTATGCATACCCATATATTTGGAGTTTATGAGAGCAGGGTCACTACTGATGCCCAACAGAACAAGGTTAAAGCAACACTGTGTGCTTGAGTATGTGTGTCTTCTCTGTTTCGGTTAGTCTTTTAGACACTTTGCATTCTTCTCATGTTTTCCTTCCTCAAGAACCTACCTCTTATTCCCCTGCAAACTCTCACTATTCTGTAAGCGTACACACCACCATCTTTCCTGCCTTTTCAACTCAGCTCTCTTCACGTGTTAGTTTTCTTTTTTCAATGGGAAAGCTGCTGCATGTCGACTAATTCAGTGCGTTTCCCTTCTCCCTGACCCTACAAAGCATTTTCCAATATTTCCTATGAAAGACAGAATATGAAACAATTAAGTCACAGTATATTAACGAAAGGACTTCTCAAATGTCATCTACCTTTTCAGGGGCAGTAACCACACTTATCAATGAAGTTACTCACATTTAGTCAAAGCAAGTTTTTTGCAGTCTTATCTTGGCATACTTCTTCATGAGGCACCTGACATAATTTAGCTCTTTGCTCGCTCATAACAAATGTGTACATTTTGCATGTATGTACTATTTTACATATATAATTCAGCATCAGAAAATGTTCTTCTGATATAGTCAATGAGTTAAATGCTTATGGATTAAAGTGTGCTATTGTACAAAGTATTTAAGTATGTTTAAGCTCCACTGAAGTTACTTCGAGGGGAGCACCTGCTTAAATTCAGTGCTTTTTCAGGGTCTTAATTTCAAATCTAACTTTCTGCTTAGTCAAACTCTCAAAGTATTCCCAGCACTTCAGTACAGGCAGCAGCTTCTAACAGCTACCATAACTAAGTTAAAAAAAAAGATTTACCACCATTTTTCATATGTCTTCCTCCCTACCCGGAGCAACAATTTTAATTTCACAGTGGTCTAAGACAGGACTTAATATATTTGGTCTAGAACAAAAGATAATTTGAATTAAATATCCCTACAAAATAATACTTTTACTTTTGAGAACAAATGATTATTTTAGTCTGCTGTTTATATTTATATCCACATCTGATGGCTCTGAACCAATCTAAAATGTGATCATATTACAAAATTCCTACTTCAACAAAAAAAGGTTAAATTTTGTCCTGAAAATCCATTAGTATTAGACACGGGATTTGCATTCATTTAACTTTACTAACCTCAAGGGAGGGTTTTTTTGATTTATAATTTATGGTTCTTCTGAGAGAAAAATCAAGTCTGTTAAAGGGCTACTGTAACATAATTCTTAACAGCTGAGAAACAGAAATAGGTTATATATGGAGTAGTCGCTTTTCAGTAAGTTTTCTAGAAAGTTGTCACATGAAAAACATACTTGGCAAGTTATTCAAGATTTACAGGCATTCAAATGAGATGCTTGCATTACTCACAGGTGGCATGACTGTATGGGAGGCAGACTGTCAAACAAATAGGAATTAGTAACTGCTTGACAATGTGTAGTGTATACAACAGATCAACATGATGTATATCAGTTTACTTACAAATGTAATCCATTTAATTTCATTTCCATTCCAAAACACTTACGTTACCTCAGACTTGGCATGCTATGCTCCAACTCAAGACAAGCCTATTTAATAAACTGACAAATGTTTTATAATAGGAGCTAATAACGAAAACATATTCACTGTGAACTACTACACAACTCTACAAACTCTCTGGATACTTTTTGTACACTGAGAGTTCTTCATAGCTGACATAATTCCTCTGTTTATACTGCCATTTGCAACTGCTCTTCAGCATGTTTGAGTATTCCCCATCTGTGGTTTAACTGCAGCACTTCTGCACAGATAAACTTCATCTCAGCCAGTAAAGGCAAAACACTGACAAGAGAAAAAGAATGTTCTCCCATGACCGCTCTGTTGTATAAATGTTTCTTCATCTTTTCTGGGATGATATCTTTGTTTATATGGGGCCATTATTAAGAAAGAAAACATTTTTTAGGAGCTTGAGGGAATAAATTAATTTGTGGTCTGCTTCATCCTCTTAACTTTCATCCAAAACAACTGAAAGTAATTAATTTAAATAATGAAACAAGTTCCCAAGAATTCTCTGAAACCAATCTCTAGCATCTATAATTGAAGATTTTATAGTTGCAAAATCAAAAGGACACAATGCCACTTTTTCAGGAAATTCCAATGTGGTAGACAAAATTAGGGTAAGAATCTAGGTGAAAGACACAACCCATTACATTTTCACCTTCTGACATGTGTAATCTACATATAACATTGGTGTGCTAGGCACAATGAATTCTAAGGGTTTTTGAAAGAACTCAAACTATTTTTAAATTATTAATAAACTCTTCTCTACTTAAAGCTTTAATATAAAACTTTGTAATTCCTTCTGGTTTTACATATATGGGCATAAATTTCACTTCAGGAGTGAAAACGGGATTGAATAGCTGCAGGATTTTTAAGCAGCAATTGCCTCATAACATAAATGTAATGAAGAAATGTAATTCATTTGTGAGCAGGAAATACATAAAATATTTTGTCCAAAATGGATTTGAAGCTACATAATGCAAAGAAAATGCCCAAAGTCCACGAAGACATGGTTCCACCTCTGTTTTCTTGGGGCAACTGGAGGAAGAACACAAAACCTAATGGTAGCATGACCTGGAGTCACCTACAAGTAGGATGTATTTAATGAATCCAAGGTTCTGTTGCTTGTCAAAATCACTGTGAAGCTCATCAATATACTATTTGCTTCTCTTTTTCTATCTCATGAATTGCTTTGTTTGGTTCTTGTAAATGAAAAATGCAAAAAAGGAGCTTTGGGACAGCTGTGAAGACCAAGTATAGTAAGCATAAGACATTCTTGATCTTTTGAAGGCTATTCCAAAGATGCAATGTCCCAGGGAAACCATGGAAAAGATTAAGGCATAATATTATGAAAAAACAGCCACCCATGGTGAATTCCAAGAATGGAAGAACTATGCCTTTGAAAAAAGGTAAGAGTAAATCATGAACATGGTCAAGAACTCCTAGGCCTGCACGGTAAAGAAGTACGGATTAAGACACTTCCTAAATGTTACATGGTAGATAAAGTATATTTTTATGGAAAATATTTTTATCAATTTTATACTAGGATTCAATGCATAAGTATGTTTATATCTTCCATCATAAAAACTTTTCAGAAGATTTCAGTGACTCAATGTCTCCCTTTTGCTTTAGCTGCATACTTTTAACAATATGAAGTTACTCTGAGACTTAAAATCTAGAACAAGAATGGTTCATTCAATTTTCTTTTCAAAATAAAAGTTCAGCATTTGGTTCCTGATAACACAAGTGACACACAGGCCTTTTCAAAACCAGAAACATTCATCATTGAAATAAATACTTACAAGTGGCATGAAAATCCAAACACTTCTCAGATATACACAGAAAGGAGCAACCACACTTCCTGCACGGCACATCATGCTTCCACTTCCAACAGCAAGCGATCTACACATAAACCAAAGACTTTGATAAGAATTCTGGCAGATAAAGCAAACAATTAGAAATGCACAGACACTCAAAACATCAGTAGGATGATACATGTCTTTATGCAATGATACTAGGAAGCTATTGCCACACCAGTGTAAGTTTATATTGTAATGAAGTTCAGCTGCTTCTATAATTAAGATTAAAAATACAACACTCATTCAGCAGAGACCACAGGATGAACAACCAGGAATTTTTAAGAAAGGCATAAATAATGTTTAAGAAAGTATTGAGTATTCTAGTTCGTCAATGAAACCAAAGAATGCACATGGAAATGAAAAATAAATAAAAATGTATTATACAGCCAAATACTAGACAACTCTGAAGCAGCGGAGGAACTCATCCCAAGGTCTTTTGGACCACCGCCACTACTGTCAAGAGCTGCTGGATCTGGCCCAGGAGCATAACAAAGAAAAGGAAATAACAGCAAAATAATGAAAAATATATGACTGGTGAAAGTTCTTACCTTACAATTGTTGGGTACAGTTCTGCTGTGTAGAGATATATAAGGCCAAATGCCACACCTATTGAAAATTTTCCAGCCATATTTGCTAAGATAATTAATGTATTGAAATCCTAATGAAAGAGAGCACAAATAAATAAATCACCAGAAAATAACACTGTTCCAAACTTAATTTAAATCCTTCAAAAGTTGTGACCCTCTTTAAACAAGAAGCAATACTTACTGCTTTCTTTTTTAAAATCGGTCTCAATAAGTAACTAGTGTCCATATAACTTTTTACCAGTCCTGGCTCACTGAAGCCCTGGGAACATTTTACATGTGACCCAGCAATGAAACTGTGAAACCTGTACTGAAAATACAGAAATCTATCTTCGACCAGCAACCGCATTTTAAGAACAGACTTTAATCAACTATACGATTTAGCAGCTGCATCTACAGACTTAAGAGCCTTTAAAATCAATTTCTACTATAGGAATACTTTCAATGGTACATGACTAACCTGAGGTATGAACATAATTAAAACACAGATCAGTGCACTTAAAATAAGGAACGGAATGAGTGTGTTTCTCCTTCCCAGTTTGTCCATCCCAATGCAAGCAATGATATAGCAAGGCAACTCCACAGCACCTGTCAGTATGAAATTATTTCGTTTTAAGTCATGATTACACATGTTCATGTTGTAACTCTAACTTCCTCTTTATGGGGATTCATTTAATCTAGGGGGTAATAAATAAGTGAAATCTAGAGAGAACCAGTGTGTTGGGCTAGTTCGTTTGGAAACAGAAATGGCAACGGAAGGCAGAAAGCATGGCCTAAAATATGATAGTGGGGGATGAAGAAGGACGAGGGAAATGGTTTCACAGAACAGAGCAGCTCCCGTTCTCTTTGGGGTGGAAAATTACACAAAACAGCAAGGCCACGGTCCTGCTTTTATGACACTGGCACTTGTGACTGAAAGCTCTCCATTTGCTGCTCTTTTGGTTCAGGTATTTTCACATCAACAGCTTAAATGTGCCCACGAGGAATATTGCTGGTGTCACACCAACACACCTCTCAGGATTTAGCAGCTTCCACCTGGGCACAGAACCGAAGCCATAGGCGCCTTCCCCAGCTTCAGCCCCAAATCATTCCAATGTAAAAGGCAAGCAAGGTCTCTCCAGGTCCGGTTTTCCGAGTCAGCTCCACAAATACAGGAAGTGCGGTTCCAGCTTTCTCTCTTCTCCATTAAAAAGAGGGCAGCTGCTTACAATATCCCACTCTTACTCAGATTGTCTCTTCCTAATGTCTCTTTCCAGAGAAAACTTCTGCAGCTCTAAAGGAACTGGCGTTTGGCTAGGACTGTTCACAAACCCTGTGTAAACATGATTTGCCCCTAGACAAATTACATTGAGCCGATGCCAGTTCAGACATGTTTTAAACCAACTTGCTCATGAAGAATGCTACTATGTCCAACGTGAAATCAAGGAAGAACATAAGATACAGCCCTGAACAAATATACTGCATTCCTTTACTAAGCACGTATAGTATGTCAATACACTTATAATATCAGGAAATAATCTTTGGGACCTGCGTTGGTAAAAGCAGGTTGCAATTTTTCAGTGTATGTTAGTCTGCTAAAATATTTTTGAAGGAGGTGGATATAGTGATTTATGCACTGTGCTCCACCGTAACATTTTCGTTTCTGTGCAATACTAGCATCCACTCTTCAACATGTCAGTCTACCAATACGCTATAATACATGACAACACAAACTGAATTAATGAGTGCCCCAGTCCTTCTGTGTGCTTATGTACATGAACAGTCACATTCACTTCACTGAAAACACTCAGTTGCATAAAGCAAAGCGCATGATTTAATTCTTTGCTGGCTCAGAGCTGCGTGCTGATCTAGAGTCTTCTGAAGTCAATGGAATATTTCCACTGATCTTAACAAACTTTGGATCAGGCCTTGAATGCACTAAGCTGCCTTTATAAACAACTTACATACCAGAGGAAGATTACAGTCAGACCAACAAAATTAAAAGAATACCACAACTGAATTAATATACTTTTAAGAAAATTAAAATTACTCTTGCTTCTGAGAATTATGAATCTTTTTTCTAAACAGACAGATTCAATATGTCATGACTGCAAGTGATTAAAGGAATAATTTTTTTCTCCCGTTTTCCTAATTTGTGCCTTTAACAGAGCCGTGTGAATTTTGTGTTGCTGGTCTGCTTCCCCTGGTGTTTGTGTGGATCTGCTATATGCTTGCAGGGCAAAGAGGAGACAAGCAGAATATGGTTTTACAATCGCAAAGACAGATGGAGAAGAATTTTGTAAACCAACAAATTTTAAATTATCTTTTTTTTTTTCAGAAACAGTGAGAATTGGATTGAATGATACTCCTCCTTACTCAAGGAGTTAGTCAACTTTATGAAGAGTTAGCAAGAAACTTTTTGAACAAGGTTCGTAATTGAATAAACAAAGTTAAAAAACTGGCTGTCAAATCTATAGACATTTCTAAATGTTATGTTCTAGTTTTGTCATAAACAGAAAAAGGTACAAAAATATTTACCTATGAGAAAGAGATTTAAATATTCATTGCCTCCTAGACTGACAGAACTGAGGGAAAAGACGTAGTACCCCAAGCTCCCAGTGAACCAGATCAGCCAGACTGTGATGGTCCTTCTTGCAATGTGCCAATTACAAAACAGGTCTAAGATGTTGTGCTTCTTTGTTGAGGACGTGTCATTGTCACCCGTTCTGCCACTGACTAGATCATCTTGTTGGACTGAGCATAGTTCAGAAACTTTGCAGGGGGTGCTTACTTTATTCCATCTTGCCATTATATTAATTACTTTTTGTGCATCTTCGTATCTTTCCTCTGACAGGAGCCAAAAAGGTGTTTCTGGGAGCATCCAGCAGCACAAGACAAAGGGAAGAGTCGATATGGAGAGAAATATCTGATAGACCCACCAGGTCCGAACCAAAAATCCCACGAGTGCCACAACCATAATTCCCATAGCAAAAAAAGCATGGACATGCATAGAAGCCCAGGTTCGTGCTTTAATGCCAACAAATTCAGTCACATAAACAAAAGCCACAACCAGATAGCCACTTGAAACCTGGGGGTGGGAGAGAGGAAAAAAAAAGTGTGAGGTTTCTATCTACTCTCCTTGTGCAACAGCAGTAAAAACAAACAGCTAACAGTGTTTCACATTTGTGTACGCTTAACTGCCACCGCACTGGCATGTCTCACACTGGCAGACAAAAAGGCAACCCTGAAAACAAATCAGCTGGAGAAAAAGTTCACTCAAACCTCCAGACTGCCTGGACACTGTATTTAAAAATGTGAAGTGATTTCAGATGCTTCTCTGTAGTGGGGGAGAGCCAGCAAGAGACACCTAAAAAAGAGCTTAATTTGCTGATGTCACTAAGCCCTTCACCTCCAAAAATCAGGTCCCTGAATGACATCGCAAACTGGACGCTCGGGAAAATGAGTTCCCCTGACGTAATTGCCACTTCTGAAAATCTTGACCTTGGCTTTTAAGTAGACTATTAATAATCTGTATGCCAGGAAAATACAAATTTATTGAGAATTACCTTCCACACCCTTGTAAATTATCTCATTAAATCAAATTTTTACAATGTTGGAAGAGAATCTCATATATTATAGGTTATAAGTTCTCATACGTTATCTAGCGAATGCAATTACTGACACGTTCTGCATTACAGTATTTCTTCATTGAATATATATATATAACTGAATATATATACACATTTCAATTTCTCTATCAACAGTCAAACTCTTGGTATCTCAAACCATTTCAAAACACAGCTAGAAAATCTAGACTAGAAAATATTCCAGTATATTGTTTTGATTAATCAATTTTCTGGTTAAAAATATTCCAGTTAATAACCTCTGATTCTGAACCCACTGAACCTCATAGGAAAGCTGCGCTGATCTCAGTAGCACAGGGCTAGATCTTTAGATCTCCATCTCGCAAATCAGTCCCAGTTGGCAGTTAAAACCTACAGCATTGGTCTGGTCAGAGCTTTTTGGTTTTCTAAACTACCACAGCCCCTAGCATCAACAGCCAGAGGGACTCCTGTTATCTCACTGTTCAAGGCTGAAATGCTCATGCAGTTTTTCCTGCTAGGAAATCCTTCTGAGCTCTAATCAGGCAAAGGGAGCACCAGGTGCAACGTCCTGTCTTGACTAATGCACTGTTTTTAATAAAATAAACTATGTGATTATTTTCAAATTTCTAACCTACTTTAAAGAAGTTACATAATTTTTCTTGTGATAGCATTCTTATTTCTTTATGTATTATATAGTGAAAGACTACAAATATTATGGTTTTGGATGTAAAATAGTAATTTAAAATTGGTTACTATGCATAAATATTGAATATAGATCAGATATTGGATATATATCATACATATATATAAAAGTATGTGTATAGATATGCATAAACACATATACTGGAATACCCTGTAGTACAGTATAAACATCTAGGTGTTAAACATGTCTACCTATGCATTTAGTATTCCAGCTGTAGCTTAAAAGACCAAAGAGATGCATGGAAGAGAAAATGTGCATCTCTCCTCCATCACTCAAAATGGTAGAGCTAAAAATCATACTTCTTATAGATTTGTTATTTTAAGAAAAATACACTCAATTTCTAACAATAAGGAGAAATGCAATGGCAGCTGCAATGCAGAATCCAGAGTTTGCTGCTCACACTTGGTATTTAATTACCAGTCCAGCAGAGGTTGGGATGGAGGAAGTACCAAACACTGCTTCATACAGACGCTTTCTATTAATTCAAAGAGGAAAAGTGCTGTGGTCCAAGAACATTCAGACTCTCCCTGCTCTGCTGAAATAAGTGCAACAGAGGGGGCTTTAGAATAATGAAGTAGGGGAGGAAATAATAATAAAAGGGAGGTTTTCCTGAGAAGGGGTAGGAAACGACACATAAAAAGAGCCAGAGTGAACACCCTTTCTTACCATAGCAAGGAGAAAGCGCACAATCACGAAACTGTAGTAGTCAAATGTGAAGGCCACTGCGATGCCAAATACAAACTGACCAGCACTTGTGAACCATATAACACGCTGTCTTCCCACTCTGCAAATCACAGCAGTAATAAAATTGTGAATAACCACAAACATTCTATTAAAATACACCTGCAACTCCAGAGAGCCTATCTGGAAGTGAGTCTGAAAATACTGTACTTAATACTTGCACTTACCACAGAAACTCTGGTTTAGTTACCTGTATTAATTTTTCAGTAATTCCAACTTCCAAGAAAAAGGAAGCTCCTATGGATGGAACTTCCATTCCACAATTCTTGGCTGGAAGTAACGTGCAGAAGTGGGCATTAAATATGCTCACATCCAGTTTCAAGTTTAACTTTTACATAACTAATCTGCAAATTTACTCTGTCTTATTTATGAGGATAGTAGATAAGACTTGCTTTTTCAGATATTTTATATTAAGTAATGTCTAGTTAATAATTTCTAACAAAAGTTAGCTGTGATAACACATGTCCTCACTTGCCAAAGTAAGAACCAAGTTGGATAGTAATGAAAGGCCTCTGTAACATATCTTTGTCTAGTTATTTAAACTTGAATTCTCTAACTAATGACAATTACATAGTTGCCCTGAATTTTCTGATTGCATCACAGCACACATGCATGCATATACAAACACAGAATCCAGGAAGCTAGTATACTAACAGCAAAAAAAATCATGTCAAATACTAGCTTCCCATCAACAACATAGCAATTTGCAGTGTAAAAGAAGGGCATTTAGTAAAAAGGAACTTCTATTTGTTTATCTTCTTCCTGTACCTCAGGGAGAAAATATACTACGTAGCGCCAGTTGTCCCTAAACAAGTGAGCACATGCCATCAATAAGAAGCTCATCTGAGGAGAAAACCTAGAAATCTGCAGCAGATAAACAAGCCTCTATTGAGGATTCATTATATTCTATCTACGAATGTTCGGTAATACAAAATGCGTGGAATCATTTTTCTTCCCTGGTAATATTCTCCTGGACTCTTATTATCTACTCCACTGCGAACAGCTTTTCACAGATGTGGATATTACATTTAGACAGAGAGTTTGAGGACTTTCAGGGGTGTGAGCTCGTTTGTCCGTTTTTCTCCATGAGTATTTGGTACTACATTAGGGCAACTCCTGTTTTTCTCCAACCTGGACCTGGAGTCATGCACATTTGGTGTCTGATCCCTGCCAGAAGAGATCCCAGTGAGTCCTAGCTGTCGGAGCTCTTCTGTTGGGAAATCTGTTAATTGGGAATGGGAAGAACCCACAAACTTATTTCCCACCAGCCAGGATGTGTCAGAAAATAATAACTTTCAGCTGTAAAATCTACAGTTGTAAATCTGCAACTCAGAATGTGTGTATTATCTTAACTGGCTGTCCATGGCTTGAATTAATGGAAATGAGAACAATATGATCATAACCTTATAAATCATGCCTGAGTATTAACTAATAAAGCTATGAATGATTTAAAGGGACGCAGAACAAATGTTGGCATTATATTCTGGTTTTGTATTCAATACAGTTTTACAAAGCCTTGGATCGGGAGGCAGGATTGATTCCATGTGTTCTAAAAACTAAATTAAAAAAAGATCATCTTTACTTTTGCATTCCCATGTTGTAACTGCCACACCGTAGCATTGTGCTAATGAAAGAAAATCAGAAAACAACACGCCTGGTCTCCTTTTTCTGCTTCTACTGTTAGCTGTGGGATAAAACGTCACCCTCCACCTAAAAGAGCTGTTAGTCAACAAGCTCCTTTATAGAAAGAGATAAATAACAGTAAACCAGCCTTCAAAGCAAAACACAGGTACATAAACTGCCCGAGACAAAACCAAGTACAGTGTAGATTAGGCGTTTGACTCTCATATGGATAGAGGGGCATGGCTGGGTGTTCTTCTGAGGTAAGAATACATGTGTTTGTTTTGAGAGAGAAAACCAAGAGAAAAAGGAGGATACAAACGTACATCCCGGATCTCACTACTGCTTCTGAGTCCAGCTCTGATGCTGGATCTCGGTGCGTGATCTGAGATAACATCCAGGGAAGAAGTGTCGGAGGGGAGCGGGCTGAAGGACAGCCTTGGCACCGTGAGCAAGGGACTGCTCGGGTCAACTCCTTCCACAGACTGACTCTCCTCGTGCTCAAACAGAACTTCGTACATGCTGGTAAGTAAGTGAAACCACAGCACCGCTCACTGACAACCATTTTTCCTCCTACCTGGACTAACCTTCAAGAGACTGAAGTTTACGCTAGCCACTCAGGGTAAAAGCACAATTGGACAGCAAGGAAAAATAGTGTATGGGTGTTTATGTTAAGAATGTGGGGCCTGATCAAAGCCTTTGCATCAGCCCCACAGAGCTGGTTTCATGACAGAGGTTAGGAAATTTGTGACTTTAAAATGCATGATTTTTAACTTTCCAGTAGCTCTTCAGCTGTTTATCATACCTAGAAATAAAAATCTATGTTTCCATGAGGAATCTCTCCTCATGGAAAATGAGGTGAAAATCTACTCTAGCAATAACATTTTACTGTCGCTATTACTACTAAATACTGCTAGTCCTGTTAAAAAAAAACTAATCTAGGGGCAAATACTAGCTGCGCAGGGCAATTTGAGGAATCAAGGCCTAGAACAATGGCTGATATAAAGTAGGAAAAAATTCTAAAAGCAAATTATTTGCGAATACATTTTAAAATTAGTACTTGCTATCAGAAAAAGAAATTGAGTTAAACACCTCTGTGAATAAAACAATATCCAAACCTCCTGAATTGTGAATACATAATTATGAATACACAATGAATGAAAACAACAAAACAGGTAGATACGTGTGGTGTTACTGCAGACTAAAGCTACAATTTTCAGAGGATGGCACTTTACCTGTCAGCAACGTCACCAAAAATCACTGCTCCAATCAAGACTCCAAGCATGAATGTAGGCTGGATTAATTTTGCAAGCCATTCTCGGTCACAGACCAGATCCCACTGCGTAACAACAGTGCTCTTCCACTTTGTATCATCATAGAGAAATCCATCAGAACAAGAAAATACGGACTTGTTGCCTTTGTATTCATATGCCAGATCCAAACTGACTTCTCGTTTGGACCTGCTGCATTGGTTAAGTTCCCAAATTTCTCCATTTTCCAGCTGGACTACAATGTAATTTTCTGTTGATGTCCATAGTGTCCAGATGTCCTCTATACTTGATTCAGAGGAGTTGTAGAAAAGAACACTACTCACATTTCCAGGGATCCCACATACAAAGTTAGGAGTAACAGCCATGAACACAGACGCTAAGTAATGGATACCACATGACATCGCTTGAAAGACACATGCAAAATAAACACATGCTTGAAATCTGAAAAGGGAAAGAAAAAAGTTTACTGAAGAAAAGCCCTCTATACATGAAAAAAAAATCAACATAATTATTTTGCTAGGATCAGTAAATGGAGACATCATTAAAGTGTCTAGTGTTTTGTTATATAGTGCTGCTTCAATATTAGCTAAGCCCTGCAAGAGACCAAAGATGAGAAAAGATCCACAGCAGAAGTAATCTATTGTCAGGAAACACATGCTGCTCTTAGTCACGTGTTTAGTCGTACACAGAGAAGACCATTTAAAAAGAAACAATTCTGAACTCAAGCACTTAGTTTGTAGCAACCTTCCACCCTCCAATTCTGTGTAGTACATCCTCTCAAAATAAGGCCTTAGATTACTGGAATGATGAGAAAAACAAAATGTTACAACCTGAGGGGTTCTGAGGGATAGAGATATGCGCATCAAATAAACAAACTAAACACATTATGTCCTTCATTTCACCTAATTGTACCTATATAACTGTATTCCATCTATCTTCCATCTCTCTTTATTGCCTCTGAAAGACAAAGAGAGAATACATGTAGACACATGTAGAGGAAGGTAGAATCTGAACAGTGTGAAATGTTTTGTACCAAAACATACCTGTAAACTGGGTTGGGTTTTGGCTTAAACAGGATGTGCAGTTATGCATTAAAGATTGTATCATAAAGCAAACACGGTAAAAGAATGTTTTATGCACAGCCTGAATTTTGGCATTTTAACAGCTTTTAAAACGTGCTTGAGATGCAAGTAAATCTTAGTATATAAATTGCACATGTATTCTGAATTTCCAAAGACTTGCAATGAACTCTAGTATCACTGACTGCAAATTCTAGACAGTTTCTGATAATCTAAGCATAAGGAGTCTTTTCCTCAACTAAATGTTAAAATTATGCACATAATTAGTACAACATCTGTTCAGAAAAAACACCATAGCTTTGGTTTCTCCTCCACTTTTTATTTCCTGAAGGCCAATCAATTGCACTCATTTGAAGAAGCATTCAATGAGCTTCTACATATACATCCTTACTGCAGTATGCGCTGGGCCTTGGCAGTATGAAACAAAAAGCAGATTGGTTTTAAATGATCAGAGGCTATCTCCGCCGAAGTTGTAGGAAATGATGCCTAAAACACAATTGCCTTGAAATGTCTTGTGGGAAAAGTCAGAGCAATTCCAAACCCCGTAACAAATGCGACCTCTAGATCACTCCTCTCCGAAATGTATCTAATCTAGCCTTGAATTCCCCCAATAAAGGTTATAACAGTACCTAGCCTAGGACTTTTAAATCATCTATCATCACAATTTCTAATACATTTCTAAACTATCTATAACCAAAGTATTTAAACAGAATTTGCTGGATACATTGTCTTAATGTCCAATTAATCTTTCCAATTAAACAGTTCTCTTGTATAACCTAACTCCATTCACCATCCTCATTCTCCTCTGCCTTTTATCTTATGATTCTTATTTCTTTCCTTGGTAAATGGAAACCCACTTTGCCTATCCTGTTTTTCCAATGGCACTGCTGCTGTTCAGATGGAGCACTTTTTATCCCCCTTTCTTTTGACAACAGCTCTATTGACTTTTCCACAGCAGTCTGAGGAGAGGGCTGAATCGCTAAACCCACCATGGCAGCTCAAAAGCTGGCTCCACTTCTCTCTTGAAGACTCGGCAAGGCAATCCTCACACAACACAGGTGCTGTGCTGCTCTTTCCCAACAAACCTTGTGAGAGATACGGTCAAGAGAAACTGAACATAACCACAGCATCCCTTAGGCCTATCAATCCCCCCTCAAGAGAACAGCTTCTTGAGGACTAAGTAGCTAGCCATAAATCAAAGCAAGGCTAAACGTGCTCTGAAAAGCTTCTGGACTATGTTGGACCACAAAAAAGCAAAGATTATTCTGAAATGTAACCTTTGTCCCCCTATTAATACAGGCAAATACGGTCAGCAAAATTTTTTAGTTCCTCTTGTCTAGTTTCATTTTAACTGTTTCCATCAAAAGTCACAAACTGATTTTAAAAATAGCAGAGCAAGACCAAATTCAACAACTTGGACTATTGTTGCAGTATGCAGAATGACTGAAATCAGGACTAGAAGACCTCTAGCAAATTAGCACATTTAATCCCTAGAAGCTGTGCAGTTACATCTTCTACTAGCTAATAAAAAGTGGCATACCTGGAACCAGGATCCCCAGTATTTGCAGTATCTGTCATTATGCATCAGGAAATTGCAGTGTCAGGTAGCCCACTTGGCATTTCCCAGGCAGAGGAAGAATTAAATAATTTCAAACTCCCATACATTCATCTTGAATTTCTTAATCAGCTCTCACAGTACAAGAAATTTCAGGTTCATCACTTCTCTTTTACCCAGTAAGAGGGAGCAGGAAAGATATATTTATGCCCCTTCTTGTTGGAGAGGCTTGAAAGAAGGTTAACAACTTGTAAGGATACGGACTGAGAAGATGGCATGAACCAATGCATTACATTATTTTTTAAAAACCCAAATCCCAAGAGCATCACCAGGGCTATGATTTTGATCAAGTTTAGCTAATCTCTGCACTAACTGCTCCCTTGAGAGTTTTATCTTATCTCTTCCTGAACACTTCTTGTGATCGTACTTCAACAACCATTTTGACAGACTGCTCCACTGTCAAATCTTTCTGTCAGAAAGTTTCTCATTAAATCTAATCTCGATGTCCCCTTTTTCAGTGTAAGACTATTAGCAGCTTATAAAACATCCTGTGCAACCCTGAATAAATCTTCCTTGTCTTTTATTACTTTGTTGTACAGAATTATCAGTTATCCCCCTCTAGTTACTTTCTAAAACTATATAAATTACAGTCCCCTACCCTTTCCTAATTTTTCCTTTGTGTCCTATAGAACAGCTTCCACCTCTATAAAAAGCAATAAAGGATTTATTTTAAAGAAATACCTGTGTCATGCCATATTTCACCCGTCTTTCAGGGGTTTAACTTAGAACCAGATATAACTGATTCTTGTTAAAATGTTCTTCCATTTTCAATGTTATGAAAATCTTATTCAGTTCCAACAAAGAAATCCACGAAGAAGATACCATTCTGTAGTATCATTATTTTTCTTATCTAATTTGCAGCACCTATGCTAAGCAAACACAAAAAGTCAAACAGAATGCCAGATATACATTAATAGACATTTATGCTCTTTATGACTTAATTTAAGAGCAGGAAAACATGTGTTTTTACAGCAAAATGGCCATGTTGCTGCAGAATCCTGCAGGATGGATTGCAACTGCAGTTTTTAACCTCTAACTGCTCAATAAAAAAAGCCAAGGAGCAGGCAGGGGAAGCAGGAATAGGGAAGAATAAGGCCTGATTTGAAGCTAGAAAAGTGTTTGGCAGCACCAGTGGCTGAAGGAATCCCACAGCCCTGCCACCACACTAATGGGCTGCTCCCCTGCCTGTAAAAACTACCTACTGCTCTCTCCAGTAAAATTCCACAATGGGCCGGCTAAGCCTCTCTCTGTATATATATATTTTTACATAAAACACACACACAAAAAAACCCAACCTGAAAGCCCTCTTTTGTTGTGAAGGCAAAATTCATTGCTGACTACGGTAGTGCTGTAAGAGCATCCCCACCGGTGCCAGACTGAAAAGCCCGACCTTATGAGCTGCTGAGAATCTCCTGTGGGGAGGAAGGGCTTTTCTTCTAGAAAGACCAATTGCGTAGAGGTCAGGAAATTCATTAACTTGCATAGTTACCAAAAGGAGTTAATTAGGCTATTAGTGACAGCATATACAAAGCATGAAAAATATGTAGGGAGGATGATATGTGGGATGGGAGAATACTATAGATGCATTGAACTTGCTTGCCAGAACAGCTGCAGATTGAAAAGGGACAGAGAAAGACACAGGCCCAGCCTCATGGTTTTCTAGAACAGAGGTCAGGGCAGCAGACAGCGCCGAGCAAGGAGGAACATAAAGCTGCTGCCTGCTCTATTGCTAGCCTGGGATCCCTTCTTTTGGACCTTTGGGTGCACGCGTTTTATCTCAGCCCTCCTACTGTGGCCATGTCAATGCTCTTCCCCAGTCTTAAAACCCTGGGGCCAAGAAGCAACCCAAGCTTCTTGGCCCACGCTCACGCGATGGCTGAGGAGCTTGTCCTCGTGGCGGGAGGCCTCGGTGCTGGGGGAGCACAGCCGCTCCCGCTCGGGGAGCAGGGAGCAGCCCCTGCGGCAGGCTGTGCTGGGGCAGGAGGTCACAGCAGAACATATACAGGTCATACACTTCACTGACCCTGAGGCACAGGTTAAAGTCTATGCTGTCCATGCTGCCTACTGTGAATGATTAACTTTTTTCCCAAATGTGTAATTTAAGAACACCGGACTGATAAGAAACTCTTCTATTACTAAGCTTCAATCTCTACATAATCTTTTCAGTAAACTCACCAAACTCCATTTTAAAAGTTAAATTTCCCTGAATAAAGAGATACTGCCGCTCGTGCATCAAAATGTTAAGAAAAAAACATTGCAGTAGCAACAAATACTATTGAAATTCACCAAAAGAAAGCAAGGCTTCTTTCAGCAAAGGCTGTGACCTATTTTCCTAGACTGATCGCAAAAAAGGCAGTTTTTGGCAAGGGTATTTTATATGCCAGTTACCTTCACATACACACATCAGATTATGTAATATATATTGTTGCAAGTAGTCGTTTTCAATACCTCTTTTACAGATATTTTTTCTTTTTAAAAAGCACGCTTCTTGCAATTATTAAGATCTGTGAACATGATGACTGTCCTAAAAGGTATGATAATCTCTCACAGTGTTTTTCCATCTCTTCAGTGACTTGCAATGGGAGATAATTATTTGGCAAGTACATTTTGTCACTCTTGCCAGGAGTGTCAAATATAGAAGTCAAGAAGACTTGTAGGTTACTGCTCCAGTACAGAGACACTTAACGAATGCCAGAAGTCAAATGAGCATAAAGCTGTTTTCACAAAAGCTTGAGCAAGACACAACATGAAA